GACTCTGTCACATGGGGTGGCTATAAATGGAAAATGTGGCAGCTACCAGGGCAGGGCCTGGGACTCCGCATTTCTGAGAAGTTTCCAGGTGGTGCTGCTGCCCCCGTGTCCACCCTTTGAGAACCACTGATCTAGGAGGTACCAGGAAATGAAAGCTGTCCTCTATTTCACCACTCGGAGAGGACTATTGTTAACATTTTAGGGTGTAATTTCCCAATTTTGAAAGAAAAAAAAAAGGGGGGGAATACATGATGTATGTGGATGGGTTTGTAAAAGCCAAGACTGTGCTGTGCTTCTGATACTGTACTCCTTTTCTATAAAACAAGACTTTTATTTCACAATAACTTTACATTTTTATTTTTAAATTTTTATTGTGATTTGGGTGAAAATTTATGGAGCAAATTCATTTTCCACACAGCAGTTCATGATATATTGTTCCATGACATTGACTGCAGTTCCCCACAATGTGACAGCTCTCTTCCCACTTCCTCCCTGTGGTTACCTCTTCCCTGTGCCCTTCTTTCCTGCCCCCTGAGCTGTCTCCCTGTGCACAGTACTTACTGCCCTTCTGTTCTCCCGTGATTGATCGTTCTAAGCAGTGTATCTACCTGGTATAAATATTCACAAAATGTCTATTGTTTGTCTGGAAGCCACAGGAGTGAGTTCAGTTCCAGACCTGAAGGGTGACTAGAGGCCGTAATCTCAGGGGTCTCACCAGGCTCTATCAAACCAGCAAACCTGGTCTTTTTTTTATGATTTTGAGTTTTGTTCCACATTATTCTTCCATTCTATCCAGGATCTCCTGCACTGATCCCTTTCCAAGTGGTTGACAGTGGTAGCCAGGTACCATCTAGTTGCTCTTGTCTCACAGTCATATAGGCTGAGGTTCACATGGTCCACTAATCCCTTGGACTAATTGTTTCCCTGTGTCTTTGGTTTTGTTCATTCTTTGCTTTGGACGAGAAGAGACCCATTGTTGCATCTAGATGGCTGCTTGGTGTAGTGGTTAAGACATTTGGCTGCTAACCAAAAGGTTGGTGGTTCGAATCCACCAGCCGCTCGGTGGAAGGAAGATGAGGCAATCTGCTTCTGTAAAGATCT